TGTGTTTTTTATTTTCTGAGAAAAGTTTGTAAACTAGAAAAAAATGTGAATTTTTTTTGAAGCGTCAAACATTTTTTCAAATTCCTGAATATATTTTTAAGAGATAAATACACCATAAGTCTTAAAACTATTTGGTGTGTGTCAAATTAGTCTGAATGCTATGAAAATGCATATATGGGTCCTAATAGTTTGCCAAGTGTGTCGCCCTAGTCCTATCCACGCTGCATCAGCTTTGACTTGCACGGGGTGCAAGATTGACTACTCCGATGTGACAACTTTTTGCACACCCGCTCCCAAAAGGTCATATGTTCTAATTTCGTGGCGTTCACCCTTGCACACATCATATCCCTTGCCCTCCTCTCCACCTCCGATGGCCATCGTCCACCTCGGTGCCCAAGCGCCATAAACATGATCTTATATGATCAATTCAAGGCACCATGCCAAGATGTTTATGTTTTTGACAATTCTTGCATTTTCTCAAGTTTTCTCCGTGAAAAATACCCGATATATGGACGGACATGACGCAACTTGCTTATGGTCTCGGAATTTATTCAAACCTGACATGAATGCGTACTATGGGTATGACCACCTTCTTTCAAAAGTTGGGTTCATTTTACAGATGTCAAAAAATAGAATGTGTTCAACAGAGGGTGTTTGAGTAGGCCAGAAGGATCTATTTGGGAGCACTTCGTTTCACAACATCTCTAAAATGGCTGAACTTTTTTCTTGGTATTGTATGACCAATTCAAGGCACCATGTCAAAGTTTTCAACAATTCTTGCATTTTTTGAAGTTTTCGACGATAAATGGCCGGACGTGACACAACTTGCATACGGTGTCAAAATTCATTCAAACTTGGCATAGATGACTACCATGGACATGTCCACCTACTTGCAAAAGTTAGGGTCAGTTCATGCATGTAAAAAAATAGATCATATTCAACAGAGGGAGTTCGAGTAGGCCAAAACAGTCTGTTTGAGAGTTCGTTTTTATTCATGGCCTTGTATGACCAATTCAAAGCACCATGCCAAGTTGTTTGAGTTTCCGACAATTCTTGCATTTTCTGGAATTTTCTCCATGAAAAAATGGTCAATAAATGGTTCGACGTGACACAACTTGCATACGGTGTCAGAATTAACTCAAACATGGGATGGGTGCCTACCATGGATATGCCCGCCTACTGGCAAAAGTTAGTTCTATTTTATGCATGTCCAAAAATAGACCATATTCAACAGAGAGTGTTCGGGTAGTCGAGAAGGGTCCGTTTGAGACCACATTTTTTTCCGGCATCCATCACATGACCCAAATTTATTCCTTGAGCTTATATGGCCAATTCAAGGCACCATACAAAGTTGTTTGACAAAAAAGAAAAAAATACACTGGCATTGGCATTGACCTAACTAGGTGACATCATTGACCCCGTCCGACGCCTGTTTGGGGGGGGGGCGCTATTAGACGCATATCACGTCAAATAGTCGTTGTTTTGCACATGCCCAATTGATACGAGTGAACATGGGCGAGCCCATTTTAATTTTTCCATTGCCTCTGTAGATGCCGGTTTTGGGAACGTCTAGACGTTTAAGAAGGTTCATGAATCTTTTCTTTTTTGTTTTCCATTTTCAAAATCGCAAAGTTCAAAAAAAATGTTCATCCATTTATTTTCGTATTCGTATTTCTCAAAAAAGTCCAAAAATACCAAAAAATGTTCATGTTTAAAAAAATGAGGGTTTCAAAATTGTTTGTGTTTTCAAAAGAAATTCAGAATTAACTAATCTTTTTTCGGAATTTAAAAATGTGTTCCACGTTTCGGAAGGGGTATGGGCAGATCTGGTCCGTCTATGTGTTTAGGGGGTTGTACCGAAGAAAAAGTGAAAATATAATACGCCATCGACGTACTCTAAAAAGAAGTTCTGGCACTAAAGCGCAGAATGCATCTCAAGTTTGTGCGCAATGTGTAGTATACCAATTCTTGTATAAATATGCAGCACAATTCCAACGATTTGCAAGAATGTGGACGGCGTCGGCGTCGGCGTCGGCTAGTGCATGTGAACAAAACCTGGTTGGTAGTACTCCCTCCGGTCCTTTTTACTCCGCACATTGGTTTTGCCGAAAGTCAAACTTTGTTAAGTTTGACTAAATTTATATTAAAAATTATTAGCATCTATACTATCTAATAAATATAATATGAAAATATATTTTAAGATGAATCTAAAAATATTGGTGTTGTTATGTGAATATTTATAATTTTTTATATAAATTTGGTCAAAGTTGAATGAGATTGACTTCGGACAAACTTAATATGCAGAATAAAAAGGACCGAAGGGAGTAACACTTAATGCACAGTCCAAATTACTCCATCGAGAGATGAGCTGCGCCGGGGGGCATGCTACCTTTCTTACCGTAAAAGTCGTCTCAGCATGCACACATTGTTTACTGCTAATAATCCAACGACTAATAATGGCACCTAAATTGTCGAGCTCGGGGGCGGGAGAGGATTATATAAACAACAATGAAGTCTCACGCCGACCAATCAGGCAGCGATACGCGGGCCAATGGCGAGTGCTCCTTGTGCGGGGAGGAG